TTCTATTGATTATGCTACTTACAAATTGATTATGCTACTTACAAATTGATTATGCTACTTACAAATTGATTATGCTACTTATTCTATTGATTATACTACTCATTGTATTATTTATACTACTTATTCCATTGATTATACTACTTATTTTATTGATTATACTACTTATTTTATTGATTATACTAATTATTTTATTGATCATGCTACTTTTTCTGTTGTTTGTGCCATTTATTTTATCGATTGTTATGCTACATATTCTATTGATTATGCTACCTATTTTATTGATTATTCTACTTATTTTATTGATTACACTACTTATTCTATTGATTATGCTACTTACTCTGTTGATTATTCTACTTATTCTATTGATTATGCTACTTATTCTATTGATCATGCTACCTATTTTATTGGTTATACTTATTGTTCTATTGATTATACAACTTATTCTACTGATTATGCTACTTATTCTATTGATCATGCCACCTATTCTATTGATTATACTACTTATTCTATGGATTATGCTTTTTATTCTATTGATTATACCACTTATTTTATTGATTATTCTACTTACTATATTGATTATGCTACATATTCTAATGATTTTGCTACTTATTCTATTGATTATGCTGCGTATTCTATTGATTATGCTACATATTCTATTGGTTATACTTCTTATTCTATTGATTATGCTACAGACTCTATTGATTATGCTACTTGTTCTATTGATTATACCACTTATTCTATTGATTATGCTACTTTTTCTGTTGTTTATGTCATTTATTCTATCGATTATTATGCTACATATTCTATTGATTATGCTACTTATTTTATTGATTATTCTACTTATTTTATTGACTACACTACTTATTCTATTGATTATGCTACTTACTCTATTGATTATTCTACTTATTGTATTGATTATGCTACTTATTCTATTGATTATGCTACTTATTCTATTGCTCAGCCTCACAATCCCTCAGAGTATTGCTGTTTTAACGAGGCATACCTAACTTTACTAAATGATTCATTCCGTTTATTTATTTCGAATTTAACTATACTTAGACTTAACCTAAGCGTTTAATTACTCTAAGGCGTTAATATCGCTTTGATAGACCGAAACTTACAAAATGACTGGGACAAAATCTGACAGAGGATTGTCTTTAATAAAATCGAATTATACGGGTATGTGGCTCATACTTTACGTGTGTATATCATTGGAAGCCATGAAGACAATGGTACAGTATATCAACGATCTTGTGTGCCGTGACATTTTAAACATAAGATCTTTCAACCCAACGATTGGAAGCTGTGGACAAAGGTAAATACTGAGGTCTCAAACAGGCGCCATATAGATCTCCGAAGACACAGTCGGGTATTCTAGACACCGTGTGCTTGCCTCTGACGAGTTTCAGTACACAATCACTTGATCGGTGCGAATAAAATATACGTTGCGATCAATAATATTTAATCTATCACTTTATTTTACAGTACATTGATATAGAGTATATGGCTATGCAGGACACTGCCACATTCCAAATCTTAACAGCGTTTAACAAGCACTTGCAAGGGCTCGCTAAAAATACGGACTGAAGATTCGATTAAAAACATGTTGAATTGTGATTATCATAAAGGCAAGGGTTTAGCAAGTTCGCTTCCAGCACGCATGAGCTGCCGCTAATAATTAAAATCATACACCACCACAGTTAAACACGGAGGCACAGGCACCACGTATAAGAGAACCATACGAACAACGTACTGACTAGGAAATTAGACTAAGTGGTAGCAGGTACAAGTTATAAACATAGGTGTACACGTATACTGTGGTAAATTTAGTATAAAGGTAGCAGTATATACACAAATTGAAGTATAAATTGTACTTAAGTAGCAGCATATACAAGTATAAATAGATATTTATTGAGATATATTTTGTACATAAGTGGCTGCATATATAGGTGTACACGCATTTACACGTACATATTGAAGTAAACTTAATATATAGGTAGTAACTTATAATAGTATAGACGTATATGTACTCTTTAGGTATATTTAATATATAAGTAGCCGCATATACATATAAACACATATATACACATATACACACGTATATACACGTATATTGAAGTACATTTAGTATATAAATAGCTGCATATACACCATATTGAGGTATATTTGGTGTATGAGTACCAGAATATACAAGTAGAAAACTTAAAATTTTGTAAATACAAGTGCATTGAGGTATGTTTAGTGATAGAGTCGCAACATATACGAGTATAATCACGTATACATACGTTTATTGAAGTATTTTTAGTATATAGGTAGCTATCGACGTATAGGTACTCACATATTGAAGTATATTTAGTATAGACGTACCAATATATCATAGTATAGACGCATATGTACTCGTATTTTGGATGTATATTATAAATATAAACACGTATTTACATGTACAATATTATCAACTACGATTCGCACTGTTAACCCTACAGCCAGTAAGTTTTGCAGTCACTCGGTGCAAGATGAACCTTTTGTTCTTCTGCGACTGTGACACGACTACAATTGCACAGTAAGGAAATGGTTGTTGCGTCGAGATGCTGAGAATACCATTATTGGGTGATACCATGTAAACCGATTATTGTTTATCAAAAAAGTACGGCCGTTTGTTAGACCGTTGTGGTATTTTTCTTTCTTTTTAATGGGTCATGGCCGTTCCCAAAAAATTATTGAAAGACAGACAGTCTGAGTACTTCTGATTATCTGACAAGGAAGTCTGTTGATCTGACGAGAGACGTAATTCAATTTATCTTTTAAAGTAGAGGCATGCTATGCTTCATAAAAACCTCCGACGGACATAATATTTATATGTCTTCGAGTCCATCATTTAAAGTAGGGACTAGCATGTTTTATAAGTCTGTCCAGCACACTTAAGTAAAGAAATAGGTGTGTTGGGTTGACTACCTTCATTTAGGCTGGTCTCGACTATTGCGCATCATAGCACACCTCTGGGGTATTGTGTTGGTTTAATTTATAACTTCCTTTCGGACAGTCTTTCCTATCGCTTGTATACTGACTCGTCGTGTGGGTCCATGTCCTTAGTACCCAATTGTGCAATCAATATCGCCGTGACCACCAGCTCATTGGCAATAGACCATTCATAATTTCGCTTTTCTAATTCTAATCTCAATCGCCAGCTCATTTGCATCGAGCCAATCCTAATCTCACTGTGGTAAAATCCTTATTCCAAATGCCAGTTCGGTTGGACCAAATCCAAAACCAACCCCAGACCCAATCTCACCGTCTACAAGACATGAGAAACCGCCACGGCATCTAGGCCACCGAGAGTACTTTCGTATAATTTGTTAGCCAGCGCATATCAGATGCATTATCTGGACGGATGTGACAGACTCCACATAGCTGGGATGGATGACTACCTGTGGTCTCATGCAGGAATACAAGCTATGTTTATAGGCTATATCTCTATGCGAAATACAAGCTCTGTTTATAGGCTATATCTATATGCGAAATACAAGCTATGTTTATAGGCTATATCTATATGCGAAATACAAGCTATGTTTATAGGCTATATCTCTATGCGAAATACAAGCTATGTTTATAGGCTATATCTCTATGCGAAATATAAGCTATGTTTATAGGCTATATCTCTATGCGAAATACAAGCTATGTTTATAGGCTATATCTCTATGCGAAATACAAGCTATGTTTATAGGCTATATCTCTATGCGAAATACAAGCTATGTTTATAGGCTATATCTCTATGCGAAATACAAGCTATGTCTATAGGCTATATCTCTGGGCGAAATACAAGCTATGGTTGGATACAATCTCTATGAGCTTCCACGCGGCAATGTAAACTGCAGTCGTATGCTCCAGGGGGCAAGGAGAACTCTGTTCATAGCAGCGCTAGTAGAAATAACTGTCTGCTTTATGTGGCAGTAGTAGATGTGTGCGTTAAGCAAGAGTATCAGGTGTCTCTGTGTGCTTGATGCAGGAACAACAGAAACATCTCGTAGCTTTCAGCGTGATATCAGAAGCATCTGGATGCTTTGTATCTGAATGTTTTGACCTGCAAAAACATATGTTCCTGTATATTGTAGGCAGCAATAAGGTTGATATGCTATTAAGCTGCAGTGACAGACGTGCTTATATGCTTGTGAGCAGCAGTGATCGACATACGTGTATGCTTGTGAGCAGCAGTGACAGACGTGCTTGTATGCTATTAAGCAGCAGTGACAGACGTGCTTATATGCTATTAAGCAGCAGTGACAATTGTACGTGAGCATACAGTGACAGACGTGCTTGTATGCTATTAAGCAGCAGACAGGCGTACTTGTATGCTTGTGAGCAGCAGTGACAGACGTGCTTGTATGCTGTTAAGCAGCAGTGACAGACGTACGTGTATGCTTGTGAGCAGCAATGACAGACGTGCTTGTATGCTATTAAGCAGCAGTGACAATTGTACGTAGCTTGTGAGCAGCAGTGACAGACGTGCTTGTATGCTATTAAGCAGCAGTGACAATTGTACGTGTATGCTTGTGAGTAGCAGTGACAGACGTGCTTGTATGCTTGTATGCTTGTGAGCAGCAGTGATCGACATACGTGTATGCTTGTGAGCAGCAGTGACAGACGTGCTTGTATGCTATTAAGCAGCAGTGACAGACGTGCTTGTATGCTATTAAGCAGCAGTGACAATTGTACGTGTATGCTTGTGAGCAGCAGTGACAGACGTGCTTGTATGCTATTAAGCAGCAGTGACAATTGTACGTGTATGCTTGTGTGCAGCAGTGACAGACGTACCTGTATGCTTGTGAGCAGCAGTGATAGACGTACGTGTATGCTTGTGAGCAGCAGTGACAATTGTACGTGTATGCTTGTGAGCAGCAGTGAGAGACGTACGTGTATGCTTGTGAGCAGCAGTGACAATTGTACTTGTATGCTTGTGAGCAGCCATACATATGTATATGCACGCTTCAGGCAGCAATGATAGATATATCCTTATGCTCTAAGCAGCAAATATGGGACATACTAGATGTATATGCATGCTGTAAACGACAATGATAGATATATCCCCTTGCGGTCAGCACCAATGGTAGATATGGTTATATGCTTCAGGTAGCAATGATGGATGTATCCGTTCTTTCCGGCGGGGGTGCACGCATCTTCGTGTCACCCTCTTGGGCGTCACACCATTCTATCGCTCGACACAGCGTGAATTGCAGCTCCTGCGATAGGGTTTAGGGGTTAGGGTTTAGGGTGCAGGGCGTAGTAGAGCTTTGGGCCAACCGGACAGCTATATTCATCTGAAATTTCAGGTAATCGACCGGAGTTTCAGTAAAAACTGATATGGGGATATGATATGGGTGTTCAATATCGTCGTAGTTCATGGTGCATAACGCGATTACATACGTTTATCTGCTGTTAGAATTATTGAGTAGTCCGTACATATCATTTCCCACATGGTCTCTCGTCTCAGAGATTTAAAGTATTAGGGTTCAGATACGCAGCAATACATGCGTGGTAAGCATAAAATTCCAAGCTCTGTAGGTAGCACTTTGATCTCGGCAATACAAGCATTTATATGGTTTGTGTTGATCGCAACCGTGCCAGTATATACACCCGCGCACTGTAAGTACAATGTGCAACTCATCACTATTAAGAACACACCTACTCGACTCGGCAATATGGGTGAAAAATATGAGCTATAATTAACACAATTAGATGTTACATTCAGCCATTGAAGTATCAGAAATTATGTTCCACTATCTGGAACAAAGACGGTCTTCGGCGGTAAGAGAGTACGAATGCACAATGTTGAACTCAAACATAGTGGTTTGTAGTATGACGAACAATCCTCCACTATCGGCCATCTATATTGAGAACACATTCTCTCAAAAATATGAGTACAAGTATGCCCTATGATGACTTGAAGTTTGGAAACAAAGAAGTTCTAAATTTAGAACACACCTTCTCGGCAATATGCGCATAAGTGTGCGCTACATCGCGCAGACGGTTACACAGCGACATGTCGGATTCTACACGCCGCAGTATACCCTCCTCATAACCTGCAACAAGCAAGTGAAAAGTACGTGTGTATGTTATATGACAAAAAGCCACCAATGCATGTGCGACTACCATATATTGTAAAGGTAAGTATTTTGCGTATATATAAATATATATATATATATATATATATATATACATATATATATATATAAATATAAATATATATATATGCGTTTATATATATATTATATATATACATATATAT